CTGCAGTGCTGACTGGTGTGCTGGCTTGCACTGTTCCTAAGGTTTTGGCATCTCCTGAAGCGCCCCGCCCCGTCCCAGGCTGAGGTTGAAGCCTGAACCCGAGCACTGGCTCTCCTCAAGCCCAGCACATCCCTGTGTCTTTCCATCTACTTCGTGATGGCAGGACAGGGGCTGTATTAGTTAGACATTCACAGCAGCTTGGTGACAGGATCAGAAAATTTGAGTTTCTGCTAAATAGCGTGAGTCATCCTCTGTGTGCCGGATTCTGCCCTCAGTGGCCCCAAGATTTCTATCATGACTGGGAGTTGACAGATACAACAAGCAACAACAATATCTCTACAAAAAGTTCAGATAAAAGCTATCAAATAATATGTTTAAAAGAGACACATAAAAGAATAAATGACACAAGAAAACAAGAAAACCAAGACACTATATATGTATATATGATATATTATATATATGTGAAGAACTTTCTAGAAATAAAAAGTTCTTTTTCTAGAAATGAGAACTAGGGTAGCTGAAATGAAAAGCCTACTGGACGTGTTCGGCAGCAAGGCAGACTAGGAGATGGCGCTGACCCGCCCTCCCAGAGCGGTGCAGAGTTCCCGTTTCCCCATATCTTTGCCAACGTTCAGGGTGGTGCCAACAATACCCAGGTAGGCAAATTGCAGGTTGCATTGTTCCTTTATAGAACTGAGCTCATCCCAGCCAGGATCCTGCCCCCTTCTGGTTTCCTGGGTCAGCCTTTTAGACACAGAGGGACGTTAAGACTCAATAAATCCCTTTCTGCTTATTTGTTTTGTTTTTGGTGTTTGGTCCTTGGGGTCAGTTCTCACCAGGTCTCTCCCACAGCAAGTCCGGGCTTTCCCTCCCTGGTTCCCACACCCTGAAGCCTGGTACCCAGTGACTGCAACATTTGTGTAGCTGGCTTCTGCTTTTTAACTATGCTAATCCCCAGATTCTGTTTTGCTCACTCTGCACCTTTCAGCCCCTCCCTTCCCCCTCTTCAGGCCAAAGTTTAACCCAAATCTCACCACTCCTTTTCCTGGCAGCCAGTCTCTGGCCACACCAGGCACAGCTCCTTCATTAACACGTAACCTCGGAGCCCAGCCGAGCGTGTGTGTCCATCTACAGTTGGGGAGGCACCAGAGACATACTTTTCCAAACCTGAAACTAGATACATAGCCAGAAAACCCAGAGGTAATATAGTTCATGGTTAGAGCATAGACTCCTGAAGCTGAATCTTACTTGGGTCTACTACTTAGCTGTGTGACCTTGGACAAGTCATTTAACCTTTCTGTGCCTCAGTTTTCTCATATATAAAACAGGGATAATAGTACCCACTGTATAATGTTATTATGAGAATTAAATGAGTCAGTGCATGGAAAGTGTTTAGAACCGTGTCGGGCATATGATGAGCACCGTCTATGTGCCCTTTTGTCATTATTACTGCTTCATTGGGACTGTCCCAGAACATAGCAGGTGGCAGTCACATTCACTGAAACGAGAACATCGTCAGAAAGTGCCACTTCATTTATGCAAGTAGTATTTTCTTGTGTGTCTTCTTCTCAAGGTTTTTTGATCAATAACTACGTGGTTCTGACTCTTCGGAGACAGTCCAGAATAGCTCCCAGTCCTCACTGTCAAATCTAGTGCTTGCCACCTGAACAGTGACCCCTGAACCGTGACAGCCGTCTTGTTTCTGCCTTGTGTCCTTGACTCTTCCTTCTACAAACCATGCTGCGTGCAGCAGCGAATACATCCCATGCTTTTGGTATCTAGGAACTGCCTTTAGCTTTCTGATAGCATTGAGCTGACATTGACAGGGCCCAGGGCAAGGAACGAGGCGGGGATGCTTCCTTTCACTCCACTGGCCTCATGTCAACTTGAGTCTGAACTTTCTTAGCATCTGGCTAAGATACCTAGACCCAGAGCATTCCTTTAACTGTGCTCATCTGTTTGGTCAAAACTCCAGGAAAGATGTTTTTCCATTTCTCTCTTGGTGACTTCTAAGTGGATTATTCACTTGGGGTAGTAATCAATTCTTCATCAGACTCTCAGTCTACATAAAGAGAAAGGGCTGACTCAGAGCTAATGATGCAGGTCTCAGGTAACAGGTGTTAGACAATGTGGCCTGATCGTGGTTAATGAAGGCCTGATTTGAGATGCATCCCATAATATGCTTGCAAGGGAGAGAACTGGACTCTTCAGTAGCTTGGATTCTTCCACCAAACATCTCCAAGGTATCTTTTGAAGAATTCAAGGAAATACAAGTTTGACACCTATAAATCAACTCACATCCTGAAGTCCTAAGCACCATCAGATCCAAAGGATATACATGAATTAATTTAAATACATATATTCAGTCTTTAATTTAGAATAGCCTTTCCCTTGACTAATTTTAAAGTAATATGCTTTGATTATACAGCTTTTTGCAAGTGGCATTTTTGTATTTTCAGACCTTGGGAATCCAGGAAGGGCCCAATAAACATGTTGGTTTAGCTAGATAATCCCTGTGCTGTACTGAAATGCAGCTTTTCATCTGTGATTTAGTTTTTTATTTTTTGTTAATCCTCACCTGAGGATATTTTTCTATTGATTTTTAGAGAGAGTGGAAGGGAAGGAGAGAGAGAGACAGACAGAGAGAGAGAGAGACAGACAGAGAAAGACAGACAGAGAGAGAGAGAGAAATATCAATGTGAGAGAGACACATTGACTGGTTGCCTCCAATACGACCCCAAACGGGGCCGGGGACTGAATCTGTAGCCCAAGAACGTATGTGCCGTTGACCGGGATTTGAACCCACATCTCTTTGGTCTGTGGCCCACGCTCTAACTGCTGAGCCAAACCGGCCAGGGCTCATCTGTGATTTAAATGCAGCTTTTTATCTTTGACTTCTTCTGACATGCTAACACTAGCTGTTATCAATAGTTCATCAGTGTGTAGTAATTAGCCTCAAATCCATTCTAGTATGGTTTTAGTATTTATTAAAAATTATTGAGCTCCTAATTTATGCTGACTCTTTACAGGATTTGGGAAGTCAAATATGAACGAAAGAGGATTTTCCCTGGAGGTGTTCACATCCTGGTGGAAGATATGGACATAGATACGATTATTATTCAAAATGATGAGCTGAGGTTACATACATTTAGGTCTATGGGGCATTAACAGGGGTGGAGGCACAGCAGCAGGAAGGGTGAAGTAAAAGGAGACATCAAGGAGGAGGTGACATTCAATCTGAGCCTTTTAAGGTTGTACAGAAATCCACTAAGTAGGAAAAAGAGAACCTGCCACTCACTTTTGACAGCAACCACAGAGACCTGGAGCACATGCTCCCTTCAGAGTGACCAGAGGGGCTGTGAGGGGTGTGGGAGGACACAGGGAAGGAGAGATCGACGTGAGCGTCCCAGGAGCATGAATGAGGAGCCACGGATGGTCTTTAAGTGGAAGAGTCACATGATCAGATATGAGTGTCAGAAAGAGAAGTTTTATGGATGGAGTCTCTTCAGATTTCCCTTCTGCATCTCCCAAACTGCAAACACTTTGAGTCACTCATTTTTAAGGAGCTCAAGAAAAACCTCAGGCAAGATTACTAGTACTTTCGGGGGGTGTTTGTGGTAGTTGGAAGAGTTACAAGAGGTGGAAAGGGGATGGGTAGGCTCCACTTCCTGGGTGTGCTGAGGGATACCCTGAGGTCCATTGGTCTTGGCAGGGGGTGTGGCTGGTCCCCAGGGTGGGGGAGGAGGGAGAACCCTAGAGTCCAAGCAGAAAACCTGACGAGCAGGCATTCAGACATCTCGCCTTCCTCTGCCTCAGTTTCTTCACCTGTACCCCAGTGCAGCTTGAGCTACGTGATCCCTAGGCTCCCTTCCAGCTCCAAAAGTTTGTGCATAAAACAACACATTGTCCCCCAAACTTATTTTGAAAGCTAACCTCAATTTCAACCAAACATCTTTCCAGTTGGAATGGTTCACCTTTCGCCTGGAGGACCATGTGGAGAGCACCCAGGGTAAGAGACATCGGAGGGGTGAGGGCGGTGGGGTGCTGACTGCTGATCTCCAGGAAGTGGTGACATCTGCTAGGTCATCAGTGCCTGATGCCCCCATCCTATTTAAAGAACTGTAGCTTGAGAACTCTCCTTGGAGTGCTGCCCTACACGAGAAGCAGGTAGTATCCGTCGAAGAAACCATGGGCAGCGAGTTTATTTACCCAAGGGCAAGTCAACAAAACTGTAAGGGGCATTTGAGGGTGACTGTGTTTGTAATGACTGTCAAAGATGTACACCCATGGCTGCTCTTAGCTCAGAGGAACGACATTTCATATTTTGTCTTTTCAAGTACCGTCAATTTGCTATTATCGCATCACTTTTCAAACAAAACTTCATCAGTAACAATCAACACAAAGAAAACATCCCCCAAGTAACATGATCAAAGAAAAACAGATGAAAGGTCTTTCTTAAAAAGTTAGCACGGATGCCTGGGAACTCCTCAGATAATTTCCTGTTTACATTTTTTTTTTTTTTTTTTTTGAACCTACATTTTTCTTTAGTAGACTTTCCAGAAGTCAGTTTCCACACCCCCGTTTTTCCAGGAGTTTTCGAAACTAGCAGACTTCTCAGCCCACATTATTCAAGTCAAATTTATTATTATTTCTCTGTTTCATCTGAATGAAACGTTCTTTTACGTGACCTGCCCAAGACTTTACGATTTTCTTAATATGCCCATTAAAGCTGGTAAATTGCAGGGACCCACGTATCTTAGGAGAAAAAAGATCGCAGGGAGGTTACTTGAAGTGAGCGAGCCAGAGCGGGATTCGGTAGCTGCAGGGAAAGCCAAGCTCACCCGCCCACCCCAGCGCCTTAGCAACACAGCTCTAATTTCTCCACTTCTTTCACAGAAAGGATTACATTTTCTGGGTGTTAGCCTCCCCGGCAGGGTTCTGCAGCCTCGGGCTTCACACAAGGCGTCAGTGTCCTTGTTGGTGGGGTGAAGGTAGCTTACCCTGAGCCCGGCCAGTGAGAAGGAGCGCGGCTGTCAGGGCAAAGAGCCGGGCAGCGCGGGGAGCCCTCCTGCCAGCCCTCCTGGGCGCTCCCTCCGGCATGATGCTGCGCTGGCTTCAGCCTCCCTGAAACGTGAACATTTCCTGTTTCCTGCTTGTTTGGGTAGGTGCTAACTTGAAGGAGAAGTGTTTGCCTGTTTTTTTAGGAAGTGATGTAATTCTACAGGAGCCTGTCAGACCAGCAAGGATTGCAAAAGAGAAGTTGTTCTTCAATCACAGATGCAGTGAGCACACCTCTCAAGCCCTTTGCAGCCCTGGCCCAGCCACGGGCCTCTGTCCTTTCACACTGTCCCTATGGGAACTGTGTCTGTTGCTCGGGTGTCATTCGGAGCCTGAAACCGGGGGTCCTGAACCACATGCAGTCTTGATTTGTGATTTTACTCAACCCGCAGATGAGTCTCTGGCTACCCGGAGTCTAGAGCAGAGCTGCCAGCAGCCCACCTTCCTGAGATGGTGAAAATGTCCCAAATCTGCGTCGTCCAGGACAGAGCCATTAGCCACATAGGCCGCGGAGCACTTGAAAGGAGGCTAGTGGGATGGAAAACACGATGGTGCTACCTCAAAAAATTAAAAATGGAACTGCCATTTGACCCAGTGATCCCACTTCTAGGAATATACCCTGAGAAGTCCGAACCACCAATCAGAAAGAATATATGTACCCCCATGTTCATAGCAGCACTACTTACAATAGCTAAGATCTGGACACAGCCCAAGTGTCCATCAGTAGATGAATGGATAAAAAAGCTGTGGTACATATACACAATGGAGTACTATGCAGCTGTAAGAAAGAAAGATCTCTTATCCTTTGAGACGACATGGAGGGACCTGGAGAGTATTATCCTAAGTGAAACAAGCCAAGCAGAAAAGACAAACATCACATGATCTCACTTATTTGTGGATTATAATGAACATAATCTGAGGGTAGACCCAGAGACGTGGAAGTCGGGTACAGACTGACAACCCTCAGAAGCAGGGGGGGATAAACCACAGAGCTTATATGCATGTTCGATGGACATGGACAACAAAGCTGGGGACAGGGTTGGGGGGAAGGGGAGGAGGGTGTCAATGGGGAAAGGAGGAGAAATATATGTAACAAAAAGAAAAAGAAAAGGAAGGGAGGGAGGGAGGAAGGACGGAAGGAAGGAAGGAAGGGTGAACTGAACACTTCAGTTTCAGTTTCATTAATTTACACTTAAATAACTCCATGTGGCTCGTCCTGCTGTGTTGGACAGTGCAGGTCCCAATGACAGGGACATCTGCACCATCAGAACATGGCCAGGCCACTTCTCTCCAGCAGGTCTACCTCCTGCGCGGGCTCATGGAGGAAAAGGACCATGCGACACCCATGCCTGAGGATGTGCTCTGCTTCCCCAAAGGGAAGTCATCTTTTTATGTTTGTTTTTGGAGTTTATTTTTTGTTCATTTCAGGTTTTGCTTTTTTTCTTTATAAAGACTTTATTTTGAAAAGTCTTTCATTTTAGATTCACAGAAAAATTAAGACAGTACTGAGATTTCACATATAACCCCTGCCCCTGCACAGGCATAGCCTTCCCTACTGTGAACACCCCCCCAAGGGTGGTACTTTTGTTACAACTGATGAACCTACATTGACACATCATAGTCACCCAAAGTCCATTCTTGGTGTTGTACATTCTATGGATTTGGACAAATGTATAATAATGACATTGTAGTATCATACAGAGTAGATTTACTGCCCTGAAAATCCTCAGTGCTCCACATGTTCATCCCTCCCTCACGACGAAGCCCCACCCCAATTCCCACCAATCCCTGACAACCACTGATCTTTCTACTGTCTCCATGGTTTTGCTTATTCCAGAATGTTGTATGTTGGAATCATACAGTGCGTAGCCTCTTCAGACTGGCTTCTTTCACTTAGCAATATGCATTTGTTTCCTCCTTGTCGTTTTATGGCTTGATAGCTCATTTCATTTCTTTTTTGTTACAGATGTTTCTCCTCCCCCCCAAGACAACCTCCTTCCCATCCCTCTCCCCCACCCTCCCAGCATTGTTGTCTATGTCCATTGGTTACGCATACATGCATATAAATTCTTTGGTTCATCTCATCCATCCCCCCACCCCACTCTGAGATTTGCCAAGTCTGAACCGTACTCCTTTCTATGTCTCTGGGTCTGTTTCGTTCATCAGCCCACCTTGTTCATTATATTCCACAAATAAATGAGATAATGTAGTATTTGTCTTTTTCTGTTTGGCTTGTTTCACTGAGGATAATACTTTCCAGGTCCCTCCATGTCATCTCAAAGGATAAGAGATCTTTCTTTCTTACAGTTGCGTAGTGTTCCATTGTATATATGTACCACAGCTTTTTTTTTTTTTATCCTCACCCGAGGATATTTTTTCATTTTTTTGTTCAGATAGAGTGGGAGGGAGATAGAGGAAGAGAGAGAGAAACATCAATGTGAAAGGGACACATCGAGTGGCTGCCACCTGCACGACCCAACCAGGGCCGGGGACAAACTACAACTGAGATATGTGCCCTTAGTGGGAACCAAACCCGGGTCTCTCTGGACCGCAGGCCAATGCTCTAACCACTGAGCCAAACCGGCCAGGGCATGTACCACAGCTTTTTTATCCACTCATCTATTGATGGATGCTTGGGCTGTTTCCAGATCTTAGCGATTGTAAATAGTGCTGCTATGAACATGGGGATACATATTTTCTTTCTGATTGGTGATTCAGGCTTCTTAGGATATATTCCTAGAAGTGGGTCATTTCATTTCTTTTTTAAAATATGTTTTTATTGATTTTTTAGAGAGAGAAAGAGAGAAACATCGATGTGAGAGAGAAATATTGATTAGCTGCCTCCTGCATGACCCCTACTGGGGATTGAGCCAGAAGCCCAGGCATGTGCCCCAACCAGGATCGAACCGGGACCTCTCAGTCCATGGGATGACGCTCAATCCACTGAGCCACACTGCCAGGCAGCTCATTTCTTCTCTGCTCTGGATAGTATTCTGCACTTACCAGTTATTTATCCATTCACCTGCTGAAGAACATCTTGGTTGCTTCCAAATTTTGGCAGTTATAAATAAGCTGCTATAAACATCCCTGTGCAGGTATTTGTGCAGATGTAAATTCTCAACTCCTTTGGAAAAATAACAAGGGGCCTGATTGCGGGATCCTATGGTAAGAGAGAAATGATTTAAAGGGCCTATTTCCAAAGCAGAGTCTGTTCTCAGAGGGGTGGGGGGAGGGGACCTACATTTAACCGTTCTTCCTCCTTGCATGACAATACATTTCTCGGAGGTTAACAACAAACAAACTAGGACTCAGTTGCATTAGAATGGGGTTGGAAATTCTACCTCATTGAAACAATGCAGGAAAGAGGTGTTTTGTTTAGGCCAGTATGCAGGGGAGATTAGCGTTAGGTTTTGGGTTCTAATTGAAGTTCTTCCTTTGGTTTATGGTTAGGGTCTAAGCACTAGAGAATGCAATTTCATAATTATGGTTGTTGGGGTGCTAAGAGAGCCGGGCAGGGAGAGGCATCAGACACCGATCCCTAACCCCTTTCCTGCAGCTTACCACAAGTCACCACTTTCCGGTAGGTGTCAGTGATCTGCTTGGTGTAAACACTCGAGGTGACTGGAGTTTCTCTGCCCCGACATAGCCATTCATTTTTCGTTCAGCGCGTTGCTGCTTTTTAATGTCATTAGTCACTGTTTGTCTCAGTTCCTGTGCCCAAGAAGTAGGTTGGTGATTCATGTAATGATCAGTTCGTTAATGGATTTACAGTATGGATTTTGCTGTTTTAAACTGGCTATTAAGTCAACCCCTGATTTAATATACCATTGCCCTTTAGGTGGCAATGCAGAACAATCGGTGGAAGCAAATAGAGGCCATCACAACTGGATGATTGACTGGAAAACCGCAGGGAAGGAACCATGAATCAAACTCTCGCAGAGCAAGTGAATAGACCACTGGCTCCGAGACCCTCCAGCGCTGACTTTGGTCGGCGGTTGTTCCTGTACTAACATTTATTTCTCCAGCTGCCACACGCGTGCAAGAGAACAGACCCAGGGCTTGGGAGCGCTCTTCATTTCGCCACTTATGCCCTGTTGAAACCTTTGTTGGACCCAGCTCGAGGCCACGTTTGGCAAGGGCAAGGTGGCAGCCTTGGTTTCTTCAGTGTTACAACTACGGCTGGCAGGAGGCTTTGCGGAGTTGGGTGTCTGCGGCTGGACCACAGACTGTCTTATTCTGCAGTCATCCAAAAGGCCATTGGAATGGCCAGACGGGTCCTCCTAGTTTCTGCAAGTGCACCGGGTGTTGCTTCCGAGCAAGCCCAACACTACATCAGTTAGAATGATGTGCAAAATAAACGGAGGCCGTGGAGACAGCCTGCACAACCATGTAATTTTCTTTTGACCCCCATGCTCTCTACGACCCTTGGTATGATTAAACTGATCTTAGGGGGAAGGAAATTACCACCATTGATCAGAAAATTGCAGCACCTTGGTGATCTCTTTACTGCAGCTAAAATCACAAGGAGACTGTATGGTAGGTAATGGGCTATTTACCTCTGAGTGTTCTAATTTTACCAACCATTAATTTTGGCAAGTGGCCGCCCAGCCTCAGATTAAATCCTGATACATTCGTAGCAGGACAGGAAGTCAGAGCCCTAGTCTCAACCGGAGGCACAGGAGCCCCTGGAGGGAACAGCAGGCACACAGGCAGAGGACTGGCGGTCAGGATGAAAGGAGGAAGAGAGGTGATCAAGTGTGGTGCGTAGGAAATGCCCCGAGACCACGTCACGCTCAGGAGGGCAAGACACAGTGCTTGCTGGTTCTGGGGACTCTTTTATTACTTTACCCAAACAAATCTGGCTTTTACAATCACCTCTCCGTGTTACAGAGGAGACTCTTGTCCAATTCCTCCTCCCTTCCCTCCTGTCTGCTGTCTCCCCTCCCTGCTGTCAGCTCCAAAGCAGAAGGATGCCAAGGGGACAGACCCAGAAGGGGTAAGATCTTACAGCCAGTGCAGGCTACCCCCACAGTCCCTCGTACGCCCAACATTGCCATGTCCACACACAGACAGGCACACCACTCTCTCACACACACCCAGAGACACTCACGCATGTAC